TGTCGCTCACCAGCGGTCGTGACATGGATCTTTCTGACCTTGCAGACCTCGGTCTGCCCGTGGTCACGACTGTGACGTTCATTTTACAGCGTCCCAGAGCCAAGTCGATTGATTTTGGACTACCCAAAACTGATCAAAAATCAATATGCGCGGCCGAGGCTGTAGCGGCTGCCATCCGGGGCCGGGTCCATGATAAGCTAGATTTAAAAACAAGTTCCAAGTCAGGATTGATACTTAATCGCCACTGCGCGACCCGAAGGCAAATAAAAGAATGCGTGAAAAAAAAAATCAGGCAGGAACGCATCCATGTTTTGTACTTCACACATATGTATGTATGTATGTATATATATATGTGTCATATGTATATTTATACTTACATTTATATATTTTTTTCAATACATATAATGTTTAAATAAGTATTATATATATATGTGCACATGTGTAAAGAAAAATATCTGTATAGAATTGTGAGCCTTGGAGAAGTGGTGACTTTGGGAAGTGATGACTTAGGGAAGTGGTGACTTTGGGAAGTGTTGACTAAGGGAATGTGGTGACTAAGGGAAGTGGTGACTTAGGGAAGCGCTGACTTAGGGAAGTCGTGACCTTGGGAAGTGGTGACTTGGGGCGATGATTTAGGGAAGCGCACGTGGCGCTGCAAAACGCATTGTAATGGCTGCATGTTGTTGCATGGGACTTGTGTTGGGGAGGAAGCCAGGCGTGTGAGGGCTGGGTTCGGCCCGGTTGAGCTCCGGCGAAGCCCACAGCGCTCAGACTCTCGCCAGTTGAGGTCCGGCGAGGCCCACGGCGCTCAGACTCTCGCCGGTTGAGGTCGGGCGAGGCCCACTGCGACCAGGAGCTCGCAGTTGAGGTCGGGCAAGGCCCACTGCGATCAAGTGCTGGCAGCTGTGGTCTTGCAAACCCACCGCGATCAGGAGATGGCAAGTGCTGGCAGATGTGGTCTTGCGAGGCCCACTGCGATGAGGAGATGGCAAGGAGGCGAGGAGAAGAAGGAAAAAGGAAGGAAGGAGGTCGCCATCTCTCAAAATCAAACAACCCTCACCTGGCAGGTGGGGAAAAACAAAAACTAATCACATTGCCTTCAACGCTCTGTGGACATCGAACCAACCACACCCGAAGCTCTCCATCGCAAGGTTTGGGGCTCCACCAACAACCATCCATGCCTGAAACAAATGGAAGCATACGCGATCAAACCAGATATGTATCCCAGATACTCAATCATCCGTGGCCACAGGAAACACTACCCAACCTCTAGCGGGTGGGCTAGTTCAAAACAAATCTGCCAGCAACTTTACGCCCCATACCTTCCCACCAGGGCACAGACAACACTGGCTTTTCCTGACCCTTGACGACGACCTTCTTGTAGTCATGACAGAAGACCAGACGCCCATCGACATTCACCAAGTTGCCTGCATCCACCCTGTGAACTGCTTCAATCGTGCCGGCTTCCACCACAGCACGCTCTGGCGCTGGCTGCGTAACTCGGCGATGCTTCTGCGGACTCACCACCGCTGCCTTCGCCGCCATGCCAGTGCCACGGGAACCGGGTCAATGGATAAAGCTTCGGACCTCACGTGCCTGCACTATCAGACCGTCACAAGTGTATCTACACAATTCCACAATGTTCCCCTAAAACGGAGCCCTTCCGAAAGATCATGTACCATCAAACAGCCATTAGCAGTAGCAAGGCCACCTGTGCGCAAACCACTACTGTAGCCCACAGGGGCAAGCTGCTGGAAACTGCAACCACAAGCTGGCCAACACAACATGTAACACAAGTCCCGCATACAAACCTGCTTTTTGCAACGTCTTTTCACCAGCAACGCTGCCACAGGAAAAAAAACCTTTGGAGGTAATAAAAAACCTGGGGCAGGTCCATGCTTTCTGTCACATCTTTCCAGCATCAAGTAACACAAAGGATGCAGAAACAAGATCCCTGTACCAGGGCCATTTCTAAGGTGAAATCAACCGCACAATGACCTTCAGATTCACATCTCACCGTCGTCCGCATCTTCCTCCTCGTCCTCGGCAACCTCCTCCGGCGCTCGAGCAGCTGCACAGGTCGCTGCCGCTGCGCGAGCACCTCAGCACAACAACTCATCCGCCCTCGTATCAAAGGGACTCCAACGAGTTCCGGTGGCATGCACTGGCTTTCTTCAAACAGTCAAACAGTCCTACCTTAACAATCCTTCCTAAATAATGTCAAACGTTTGCAACCAACACGGCACCGACAAACCCTGTTGCCTAACCACAACCCGGTCGTCGCCCCTTCTACAGCCCAGAAAAGAAGTGCTGCTGCACTGTAATGGATGCTTCAATGTGTTTCGCGTGCGTCTGCCCATTGCAGTTGCATTGTGTCTTGGAATTTTTGGTTGCAAAACGCATTGTAATATCATTGTACTGGCTGCATGAATGTTGCATGGGACTTGTGTTGGAGAGGAAGCCGCAGCGCGAAACATTGTGCTTTTTCGGGCAAAGGGCAGCTCGTGTGTGAGGCGGGTGCGTGGGTTCGGCCTAGGCTCGGAGTAGTCCGCACTGTAATGGCTGCTTCGATGTGTTTCGCGTGTCTGCACATTGCAGTTACATGGTGTTTGGAATCTTTGGCTGCAAAACGCATTGTAATATCATTGTACTGGCTGCATGAATGTTGCATGGGACTTGTGTTGGAGAGGAAGCCGCAGCGCGAAACATTGTGCTTTTTCGGGCAAAAGGGCAGCTCATGTGTGAGGCGGGTGCGGGCTGGGTTCGGCCTAGGCTCGGAGTAGTCCGCACTGTAATGGCTGCATGTGTTTCGCGTGTCTGCATATTGCAGTTACATGGTGTTTTGGAATCTTTGGCTGCAAAACGCATTGTAATACCACTGTACTGCCTGCAGGATTGGACTTGTGTTGGGGAGGAAGCCAGAGCGCGAAGCATATTGTTTTTCCGGCCAGCAGTAGGCACCGAGTCCGAATTCGACCAAGGGGATGGAAGGACCTGAGTGATCCCATTTTGTGGGGAGGCACCCTTTGAGGGGATGGTGGAGGTTTGGCGCCAAGTGTTTCTAATTGGAGTGTAAAGTCAGTCAGCTCAAGAAGGTCTGCTGACAATGCCGGATTGGGCACTCGAACTGTATTGTTCCCTTCTACGTCTCAAAAGGACCGGCCAAAGAAGGGCGCATCCCAAGGAAAACCAAAGCTGAAAAGCCGGCAACCCATTGCAATGGTTTAGACTTTTCCTGTGGATTTGGATTCAGATTTAGATTAGACTATATAGTATGGTTCTGTATGGTTTCCCTAAATAAAATTGAATCCATTGTTTGGGATCTCCGAAGCTGTTGGCTGTCCCTGGCTCATTTGGGCAAACAATGGAACTGAAGCTACAACATAGAGGTGCATCGCCGTGCCTCATTTTCACGACTTGCTTTTCCCCCTCTGAGTGCTGCGTGCTAACCACACTTTTATATAAATATATGTGTATATATATATATATATATATGAAGTGCAAAACATGGATGCGTTCCTGCCTGATTTTTTTTTCACGCACTCTTTTATTTGCCTTCGGGTCGCGCAGTGGCGACTAAGTATCAATCCTGACTTGGAACGTGTTTTTAAATCTAGCTTATCATGGACCCGGCCCCGGATGGCAGCCGCTACAGCCTCGGCCGCACATATTGATTTTTGATCAGTTTTGGGTAGTCCAAAATTAACTGACTTGGCTCCGGGACGCTGTAAAATAAACGTCACAGTCGTGACCACGGGCAGACCGAGGTCTGCAAAGTCAGAAAGATCCATGTCACGACCACTGGTGAGCGACACTTCACACAATGTGTGAAGCAGCAAGCAGCAATGAATGATACCTTGCTACGGATGTGTCATGTTAGTGATTGATGACTTCTGGTTTCTTATCAACTACCGTGTCACTGATCTGCATTGTCTGTGTGTGTTTGTGAACCAAGCGTCTCCAAAATGGTGGATTAGCAACTGATCCGCCCAGCGATTGAGCCCAGCAGGATCTCAGTGCCGACGCACGTGGTTGAAAACCAAGGGTGGGTACACCCAACGTCTCGAGTCGTAGGTCCAATTCGACGTTTATTGCCCTACAAGGCCTTCCAAGACAGGTCTCTCTCAACAATCACTCCTGGACTTCCCTTGAGTCTTGGAAGAAGCAGAGAAACCACAGACTCCCGCTTTCAGTCCAGCTGTCAAGCTGCCAATTGCGGAGTTTTTTGCCCTGCCGTACCCGAGTTTCTCCTTGAGAGAAACTTGGAGGAATAAGGTTTGCCAGAAGCTATCAAAGCCCGCAGAGATCTGCAGAGTATCGATCTGCATTGATTTCTGCGCACCAAGTGGGCAGTGCGCCAATTCGATCTTTACATGGAAGTCTCCATACATTCATGGGGGTACCCCAATAGCTGGATGGTTTATTTCACGGGAAATCCCGGATATCCCAGCCCCAAAAATGGATGATGACTAGGCCTTCAGGGGTACCCCCCTATGGATTGGAAAGCTCCAAATGAAGACATTAATCTAAAAAAGGTATTAAGAAGATGAATTGAGACACAAAGGTGCCCCAGCTCATCCTCGAAACGAGCAGCACTAGGCCGCGAGAGGTGCTTTGGGGCTCGCAGCAGATGAACTACTGGAGCTGTCTATCCCATGTCTGTGATTCGAGAATCTTGTGGCGCTAACAAGCCACCCACTGCAATTGTACCATCTACCATGGCTATTAACCATGCAGCTACTACAAATTGGAAGGGTCACACAGATACACGGATCCAACCACGACATGGCAACTTGTTAGTTCCCCAGCAAGGTGGTGAAGGTTGCACTTACAACTCATATCATGTGGGCTTGAAAATAGGGTACACCCAAAATTTGTCAGTCAATCATCTTCCCTCTTAAAATGATATGGGGTATACCATTCATCATCAGTCAAAACCTGTTAGTGACCGCTCCATCTGCTCCCAAAGCGAAATCCCGCAGGAATTCCTTCCAGGCGGTTCAGTCCACCGTGACAGCCATGCAGAAAGGGTCCGAATCATCACCCGCCTACGAGCGAGGCAAGCGTGGAACCACCAGGACGGGTGGAGATTGAATCTTGATTGAGGCTTCATAATGAGTCAGACTAGTGCCCAAGAAACCAGGTAGTGTAATCCCCCCTTAGTAACTAAGTTTTGGCCACTGCACAGGTTGCGTTGGGGATTTTGACCATCAGAAACTAAGCTTGTCTTGTCACTTCCTTTCGGTGGAAACAAATCCAGCTGCTCACCTCAAAGCCCACTGAAACATTGTGATGTGCAGCAGGGCATACAGCTCTGCGAGTAAATGGAGTGCCCAAGAATCATGATGGGTCAATACGAGAAAATGCCTAGTACCTGTAAGTTTGGGGGTCTTGCCTTTTGACTCAAGCTGCTCTGAATGCTTCGTGAATCATGGCACCCGCAAATTCTATGGGTGAGAAGATATTCAAATAAGATGGGCAACGCAGTATCTTACCTAATCTGGTAATCTCAGAGACCTCAAAATAGCCTGGCATGGATAGCTCTCAAGCCTGGTAATCAAAAGGATAACATCCGTCTCACCTCATCTGCTGCCTGAGAAGCACGGCCATATGGAGAATTCGTTGGAGAATTGCATGGCCTCAAGAAGGGCGGTGCGGCTCATCAGCTAGACAGCGAAAAGTGGACCTAGGAAAGCCCTTGCCAGGTTGAGCAAATTAAAACCATGCAGCCACTTCGAACAGAATAGACTGTAGAGGTCTAAGACTGGAAATGAATTCAAGGCAGACTTCTTACTTTATCTATCCCTTGCTGAATCTATTGCAAACAGCAGGCAACAATCCGCGATAACAAGATCATCCTGGCTGCAAGGTGATGATAGCCCAGCCTGCAGCTCTCACCTCCAACAAGAGTTTGGCTCTTTGCCTCTGACGGCTGGTGACTCCAAAGTCACTCACCAAATGGTAGGGAAACTGAAATGTCCCACCTTCAGATGCTCCCCCGGATCCCCATGCCTCGTCACAAATAGAATTCAGCCGCATGCGTAATGGGCTACACCTCAGGGCTGGTTTCAATCTCTTGACACAAAAAGCGGACGCACCCCAGCCACAACTTCAATGGGAATTTGTCAAGATGCAAATGGAATAAACGAATCAGATATTACAGTGTGCTTTGACGTAAAACTATACAATAATATGTTATACATATGATTATATATAATTATATAAGGAAGCCGCCATTCGTTTTTGCTGTCAGGCTGGGAAGTAGCATCTATGGTATGCACAGTAGTTGTCGCGCAATACCTCCAAAAAGACACCCTCATCGAAGCTGCATGGGGAAAGAAGGGTTGGGTGGGGGCTTGAGCCCCAGCACCACACATGTTGGTTCCTTGGTTTCAAGGAAGCCGCCATTCGTTTTTGCTGTCAGGCTGGGAAGTAGCATCTATGGTATGCACAGTAGTTGTCGTGCAATACCTCCAAAAAGACACCATCTACCCCATACTTTCGGTGCTCCGCTCAAGACCACCTGCAGCTTTGAGGAGGGAAAACCAAGAAGCCGTGGGGATGCCAGAATCCAGCAGAAAAATGCACCTGCTGATCAAGACTGCATACCCACTGGCAAAAATTTGAATTAAATCACGCGTTCTTTGGCTGAGTCTCTCAACGTAGGTCACAACCAGAACTTCTTGCAAGTAGATCTCCATAGTGCGCGCGGAAGCCCATCTACCTCTCCTCTGCACAGCTTCAGGGCTTTCCAGCGCATGCAGCATCCATGTGGCCCCACCAGGTCTCAAGCTGCCAAGGTCAAAGGGGTTGTGGCTCTCTGTACGCTTTGTCGGTAGCCGCAAGGCCTCCAGCAAATGAGTAAACCTCTTTCGCAGCGTAGCGGCCGAAAAAGGCCATAAACGGGCCCCGGGCTTTGCACTCCCGTACATCGCAGTCAGATAGGCAATCACGTCCTCCTGGTCGATGCGAGCAGCTTGATGCTTTGCCGTTCTGCCCCGTGTCTTCGGATGCCGAATGATCAGCAATGCGAAGGTGGTGCCAGGCACTGCGTCACAAGGTAGCACAAGCTCCTTGCGACAAGCTGCGAGGATCTCACCGATCCGCAAGATTCCGGTCCAGCCCAAAAGGATGACAGCGGCCTCATAGGCCCATCCCCACCCCAGCGCCACCGTCACAATTGCCGCCATCACTGCAATGGGCATGGCAGGATGGTGGTGGTGGGGCTCGTCCATCAACCACACGAAAGCGAGGTCCCACGCAGCATTGAGTTGTCGACGCACCAGTGGCCTCTCAACTGCTACAGCGTTTATCGTCTCCGCATAAATGCCGTAGGCTCCACCTGATGCGTAGAGGTCGCGCCCATAGTCAATCAGCAGGTCAGCAAGGCGTTCTGGATCTGGCGGTTTGCACTCAATCAAAAATTTGAAAGAAATACTCTTCTCAGTCCATAACCAAACCTTGAACCTGTCCAGATAAATGCGGCGCTTTTCTCTCGTCTGAGCCTTGACCGCTCTGGTACAAGCCAGAACATTTCCAGAGCGTTGTTGAGCTCGGGACCTCTCTGCAGCAGTCGTAGGGGCCAAAGGCATCCCACCAGCACAATATGGGCAGAGTACCATGGCTGCAGCAAGGATCAGAAAACGGCTCCGGTTAAAAGACCTGCCAGCAAACCTTTTGGGGGCTTTGGGGGCATGACAAAGGCCACAGACGAACCAAGCAGCAGTAAGAACAGCACAGACAAAAACCAAGATGCAAGTCCACAAAAGAGAGGCACTCGGGAAAGGCCATTGAGTGCTGTTGCCAAAAGTCCAGGAAAGACATGGAGCACCCAAGACGCAAGTCCACAACGAAGAGACACTCGGGAAAGGCCATTGAGTGTTGCATCCAAAAGTCCAGGAGGGACATGGGGCATCAGATCCAACGACAAGATTCCAGGGGTCCCCCGGGAACAGCTCACCATTGGCGGCACCCTGCATGACTAAGAAAAGAGTCAGCCGAATCCAGTTGGCAGCAAACCTCTTGAGGCCCTTCAGGTTCAGAGCACGCAGGACAGGGAGGAGGTCGGGGAACGCCACAAGAGCTCGACCCTGGGCAGAGCGCAGAGGGACCTGCCGGGTCGGATCATCGGCACAATTCAATCTGGTAGGGCTATAAATCCATCCAGGGTAGAGGTCACAAGCAACACAGACCGCACCGGCTTTCCGAAGCAGAGGCTGGAGAGCTCTGGAAGAGGACCGACCCTTGCTGAAAGCACCACGACAGACAGCGGAGTCCACCAGACTACAGAACCTGACAGAGAAGCGCTTCTTTCCGACAGAGACCAAATTCGAGACCGCAGAGGACATCTCAAGGACATTGATGTGGCCAAGACGCGTCCAAAACCATGACCTCACAACCTCCCACTTCGACGTCAGCATCAAATCGTTTGACATGATGGTTTCATGTCCATCGACTTCAGGCTCAAGAAGGCTCTCGGCATCAAGCTTCCGAAGGGCAAGGCGGAAAGCCTGGGCTAAGTGCAGAGCCAAGGCGTCTGTGTACACAGCAGAGGGCTTTGTGTAGGACCCCTGGATCCGAACATGAGCATGACCCCCAGGGCACCTGCAGTCCAAGAAAGCTGTGTCAAGCAAGTAGCACAACAGACGGAACTCCTTCCGGTGGATGGATTGGAACTGGCAGGAGGCAATGACAGCCTCGGAAAAACCAATCTCAAGCAAACTAAGCCAAGCTTGGAGCCATGCCATTTTGCTGAGCCTACTCTGTTCAAGTCCACAGGGGCGACGACACCGACGGGCGACACGCAGGAGAATGAGGGAACGAAAGGCCAAGATGTTCCCGTGCAGCGTCTTTGGATTGAGCCGGTCAAATCCAAGAGGCTCACGATAAGACCTGACAGCTGGGTGAGCTGCAGGGCTGAAGCTCGTGCAGGGCGGCTCAATCAGGAAGCTGCGGAACCGATTCTCCTCCAGCATAAAAATGATCCACTCCAAAAGACGCAAGGAAGAGAGATCATAGTGCTCAGATTCCGACAAATCCAAGGTAGGGGCACAGACAAAACCCATGCTTGACAAAGCGTCAGTGACCTTCCCAGCCCCGCCGCAGATCTCAACAAAATCGAAGTACAACAGCGGAGCCTTCCAGGGCGACTCCAAAGCCGGACCCGATTCAAGCGTCTCATCAAGATCAAAATTGCCAGTCTGGCGCAGCAGAGCCCGAAAAGGTTGATCCAAAGCTGAGTAATGCCCCTTCTTGTCAGCGTCAAGCCAGAGGACCTCATGCAAGCTTTTGGCAATCGGGGCCTTGACAATGGCACCTTTCTGGTTTGAGGCATCCGAAGCATAAAACTCCTCAAGGTAATCCACAGCAATGTTACTGACAACCAGTGGCGCCACAGAGGCCAGCATGACGAGCTCTTGCGCGATGCTCCTTGGCATGGAAAAGATGGAACCAGGGTCCTGTTCACACTTCGACGCAAAGAGGAAAAGTCCATCAACCAAAGACGACCAACACTTCCGAAACTGCCAGACAGAGACCCAGTTTCCAGCAAGACGGGCACACACGCCTGCAGAAAGTCCAGGAAGATCCGACGCACGCAAGGACAGCACAGACAAGGCCAGGCGCTTTGCAAGAGGTGCAGCAACCGGCACAAATCCAAGCCGGACATTCTTTTCACTGGAACGGATCTCAGCACCAGCCGCCTTGAGGCAAGTTTGGGCAACCACATCCTTTTCAGGCGAGCCGAGTAGCTGCTCCTGGTCATACGCATCTCGGGCGCGGGAGAGCCCTGTGAAGGCAAAGGTTGCAGCAGCTGGGGCATGGACATGATCTGCGCTCAGGCAAAAATAGTCGTCAATGACAAGGGCATCCCAACAGGTCGTGACAGGAAAGTTCATGTGGCCCTGGATCCTAGTGTCACTGCACAACAAACCATGGTTTTTCAGAAGCGTCTCATGGCTGCAAAGTGCAAACTCAACCCCCAAGTGGTCACCCTGAAACAAGGAGTTGAAACATGGGTACAAGGCCTCAGGCTGAGGCCTGCTCTTTCCTTTGGGGGCTCCCTTCAAGTGGTCACCAACAACTTCGCGAGCGGTGGAAGATGGCATCTGCCTTTCCTGAAAAGAAGTCCAAGCCCGGGTGTCCTTGAAACTTTCAAGAGGGTAACAAAAGGGCAACATGTTGGTCCTTGCACGCTGGGGTGTCACAGCTGCCTGGTGATAAAAATCACGGCGGTCACTCATGGAACCCCTCAATGCGTGGGTGAACCTCGGCAACCTGAGCATCACAAGCTGTTGTCCTTGAGGCAAGTGCTTGGAGGGTCCATCAACATGAAACTCACACATGTTTGGCAGGCGCCTGTCGCCGATCTGCCGATCCTTCTCAGGGCTCTTATAGGCATTGAAAACCCTAGAAAAGTAGCCAGGCACAAGGGGCTCTTCAGCCAAGAAAAGAAGTCCACGGACATCCCAAACCTTGGCAAGCGTCAGGCAATCCTTAGGTTTTTCAGCTTTGAAGTTTGGGATTCCATCAGCAGGCGTGTCAAGACCATGCATTAAAAAGGCCGGTTCAACAAAGGGCAGCCACAAAACACTGTCAAGATACCTCTCCATTGGCCAAGTTCCTTCGCCTACAAGCTTCAAGCGTGATGGATCCAGGGACCGATACGGCAGGAGCTCAGGATACTCAGACGCAGAAACAAGGGAGGTATCAGGACAAAACTTCATGCGGTCGGCTGCAAGGTAACCACCAGACAGGTCAGGGCACGCTTCGCAAAACTTTTCAACATGAAACAGCTGAGCACCAAGCTCAGGGCCGGTTCGGCCGGGGCATAAGGGAAACTGATCCCAGGCTTCACCACACACAGTCAACATAGTCCTCAGCCGGTCAAAGACAGCACATTGTTCAGCTGAAGGGGACCTCCTGAGCTCATCGTTGGTTGGCCATCGTCCAAGGAACATGAAATCCAAAACCAAAGTCCAAATGTACACAAGACGAGACTTGGCAAGGGACCACAAGCGACAACGAGAGAGCCCAGGGCCACTACCATCAAACAAGTCCAAGGCAGGAAGAGGCAGCGGAAAGACTGTGGAAACCGTCTCGGAAGAACGGTGCTTGACAGCAAAAGATCTGGCGAGGCATGAAGCAAACTTTGTGCGCGACCTCAAAATCCAGCGAGGCAGACAAATGGCCCACTGACACAGGTTTATAGATTCAGCAAGGGGGTTTGACTCCTGCCCACCCTTGCTTATGCCTCCTCCCCTTCTGCTGCAACGTTGCTCCCTCCGCCCTTCCCGCCCCCTCGACCTTTCTTCTTGGGGCCTGGCTTTGGCTTTGGGTGGGGGTTTCCCGGAGAGTCGCTGGAGGCTCCACCGAAGATGGTGTGCTTTGACTGGCTGGTCAGCTCCAAGCGTTTGTTGGTGATGACATCCAATTCTTTTATGTAAGCCAGGGCAACTGTCACCCATTTTTGATCGGCTAACTGCGAGAAAGCTCGAGGTTTGTTGAGCACGTTCATGGGGCGGGCTGAGAAGACAGTTGCCGGGGGTTCCTCTTGTAGGCAAAGAAGATTTGCCAGCTCGAATCTGCCTTGATCCAAAGCTGCCTGGTCGATGGTCACCGCCAACAAAGCCGTCTGGTCCCTGGCTGCTTGCCAGTTCGATGCCTGGAGACAGTCCATGATCGACATGACCTGTTGTTGAAGACAACCCAGCTCCCGAACCCTTCCATAGCCCCCGAACCTCTCGAGGTACCTGGTGCCACACACCCCCCGATCCAACAGCTCTTGTGGTGAGCCCTCTGGCGAGGCCGTTGGCTGCATCCTCCGAGCCATGGAGGCCAAAACTGCTTGAAAGAATACCCCCTTCTGAGAGGCAAGTTCCCCTTGAAGCCTTGCCCTGCCCTGAGCCCCCCGTGTGCTGGCTGAGGAGGCTGTGTTGCCGAGGTCCAGTATTGGGTCGCCCCCCTGCTGGGCAATTTGGGAGACCAGGGCTGTGAGTGCCTGAGACTGGGCCAGCACGGCCTTTGCCAAATGGTCGGAGGAGATACTTGGGTCTGGGGCTCGCTTCTCGTCCTCCAGTTCGAGAAGATCTGGAGGTTGGAACTGAGGTGATGCCAACAGTCCCGAGGCAGTAGGTGCCTGGGTCCTCGGGGGAGGAGGGAGATGTTGTGCCAAGACCCCCAGTGGAGCTGCAGCTCCTTGCAGTGAAGCAGAGATAGGCTGGCGAAGGATGCCTTGATGGGGATGCTGAGGGGGAGGCTGAAGAGGGGGTGCCGCTGGAGCTGACCTCTGTTCCAAAACCTGCTGACGGCCTGCCAAGCTCTCCACGCTTTTCACCAGGCCCTCGTTCATGACCAAGAGTTGTTCCACCGACGCTGCAAGACTTGCGACGGTGGGTTTCTTTGCGTTGCCTGTAGGCCTCTCGGGCCCAGGCGGATGCTTTTGCCTTCTGCGGGCACGCGGGGTTGCAGGCATGCCTTCCTCCTCCTCTGCTGCTCCTGGTGTGTGTAGGTCCCCCTCCTCTGCTGAAAAGTAGGGCATTGCCGAGCCCTCGATCCCTGCCCCTGCCGCGACCCACTCCCGAGTTGCAGCTAATAGTTGAGGGGGTGAAGGGATGGCAAAAGGCTGATCCACATCGAAGGTGAACGGGTAGTGCTCCCCAACCTCTGGCAAACGCATCTGAGCAACCACCTCCTCTTGAAGATCGACTACAACGACCGAAAGTGAAGATCCGGTTGCATGAAGGTTTCCATTGTCCAGGACCACCGCCGCCACCTGGAGAACAGTTGAGGGACCAACTGGGCCAGGAGGTTGATCTGTGTTTCCAGCGGCAAGGACCTCCTCCGGGATAAAGCCCACTGGAACGGCTGCAAGAAAACCGCCAGCTCTTTTGGAGATAACCAGGGATGAAACCTCTGGCTCCCCGTCCTCGTCTGCGATGACTGGCCAATCCATGATGTAGGGCTCTACATCCTGCTCTAGAGTGACCAGGTCGGTCAGAGAAAGTCCAGAAAGAGTCTCCATTGCTGGATCTATGGGGCAAAGTCAAAGTCCACAACCCCTGCACCCTGAAGATAGATCCTGGCTTCTGCCTCACTTGGGAAGGACTGGCTGATGGAAGATGAGGTCTCAAGGGACCCGATGCAAGCCCAATACCCCGCTGATGACCTGAAGACAGTTGGCCTGGAAAGTCCACTGGCCTGCAAGACAGCGTAGAAGCGACTCCGGAGATCGATGGGGGGAGTTCTGTCAGGGCTATGGATTCTCTGTGACTGCACTGCTCCCGCCCACTGCCCACACAGCCAAGCACGTTCCACTCGGTCACGACCAGACGAGGCAGACCCACACAAGCGCACACCAAGTCGAAGCAGAGAGGAGGGGCAGGGAAGCAGAGATCGCCTGACCTGATCTCGGGTCTCAGAGTAGGGTGCAGGGGTAGACTGACGAGGGGACACAGGAGGAGAAGAAACCAGCTCAAACTCCGAAGGCTCAGGACCGTCCTGGAAAGCAGCGACGTGGTTGAACAGACGGGTAGCCGAAGCGGCAGAAGCAGAAGGGGCAAGGATTGTGACCCGAAGTCCACCAGCCAAGGTAATAGAGAGCTCAATGTCCCCTGCCGAACGATCCAGGCTCATGCAAGTAGGAAGCCAACAAACGAGCACTAGACAAGGGAGCAGAAGGTGGCCGGGGGGATGATGAAGGAGAACCAAATCCAACAGAGGAAAGGCAACCAACAAACCACCACAGGACACACCCAAAGGACAGAACACCGAGGCACCAGCCGGACAGGAAAGTAAATCCAAGAAGTCCAAAGGCCGGCTGTGAACAGTAGATCGGACACCCAAGCCCCCAAAAGTTGCTGGCAAGTCCTTCAACCAGGAGGCCAAAGAACGCCGTGGGAGTCATGAGGCTTGAGCCCCAGCACCACACATGTTGGTTCCTTGGTTTCATTTATATGTATATATATATATTAATATGTATAAATCATTGAATAATACAACGACATATATATTATAATATATATATATATTATACAGTAATATATAAATACAATAATATATATATAATAATATATATATATAATAAATATATATATAATACAGTGATATATATATATAATAATAGTAATAAGAACAATAATAAGAATATAAAAAGAATGCTATTAATATATATAATAATAATATATATAATACAGTAATATATATATATATAATAATATATATAATACAGTGCTATATATAATATTAATGATAATAATAATGATAATAATAATAATAATGATAATAATAATGATAATAATAATGATAATAATAATGATGATATTAATATTTAATAACAAATAACAATAATAATAATAATATATATATAATACTGATATATATATAATAATAATAGTAACAGTGATGATAATAATAACAATAACAATAATAATATATAACAATAATAAAATATATATTATAAAATATATACTATAATACAATAAAATATATAGTATATTATATATAATAAATAATATAATAATATATAATACAAGATATAATAATATATGATATAATGTATAATATATCATATGTAATATAATATATATATATATATCATTATAATATACCATATGCAATATAAAATATATAATATTTAATATATAGTATAGGACATATAATATCTAATATAAAATATATATAGTATATAACATATAATATATAATATATTATATATTGTATATAACATATATATAATATATATATTATAAAATAGTATTTCTTATATCATATATATATATATATTCTATATAAAATATAGATATATATTATATGTCATATATAATATATATAATATACAATAAATAAAATATAGTATTTAATATATAATATATCTAGAATCTATATAGATACATCCTACCAGATTTCTGCAGCCTACCTTCTGCCACCAGGGCACATAGAACTGTCCACGCCACTCCGCACATCCTCCACCTGAAGAAACGGGCGTGGAGGCCTTCTGGACGCGGGTTTGTCCAAAAATTGGGGGGAATACCCCACATTGCCAATTTTATGGGAGAAATATTACCTTATATATATATACATAGTGTATATATATAATTATATATATATAGAGTTTTTCGTGTGTATGTAAATATATATATAAAGCATATAGCATGTATGTATGTACACATATATATATATAGGGTATGTATGTGTATATATATATATATAATGTATATATATATATAATGCATATATATAATGTATATATATATATATAATGTATATATATAATGTATATATATATAATGTATATATATATATTTGTATTCTTAGTCTGTCCAGCCAAGGGATGACACGCACAAACCCGACTGAGTGTACCTTCGACCTGAAGGCATTTTTTGTTCAGAAAAGGTGCGCAGTGCTTTCAAGCTTAGAATGGATTCTAAACTGAAATGGACTATAATGTATTCTGGGATGATATGGGATGTGTATATAGATATATATATATATATAAGATCATGTTTGATAATCCTTTGATTTGAACTGGAAAAATGATGATGACCCCTTGGGTTGCAAGGAGTTGTGATGATAATCTGATCATCCCTGACTGCAGACCCAGTTCTAACCTGTGAAACCCACAGATGGCCGTGTCTCAAAATGGGGGATGGAGGGATACCAGAACAGCAGAACAGCCCCCAATTGAACGCTCCATATCAGGGATGCATAGTGATGCCCTGCCTTCATTTCGGCATCGCGCGGAGTGTCGTTACGGCTATTGCTGCGGCTACCGCTGCGACTACCACTGCGACTGTGGGCATCGGCACCGTGGCTGTTGCTCCGCTGCACGCACTCTTCTGGCAGACTGGGCTTCCACTCCTCGTCGCAATGACGGAAAATCGATGGCAAATGGGTTGGTTTGAACACCGGGTACCCCCAATTCCAAAGGAGTAGTTTTGTCCGGATGAAAAACTGTCTATTCTCGGGCAGTTTCCAGAAATGATGATCAGCCGCCATATTTCTTATGAGTTGATCTAGATCTTCCCCATCAAAGTTGCCAAAATGCGGGGCTATCAGGCTATCTATCCCCCAGGTCTCCTGGGTGAGCCGTTTCCGGACCGGAACCTGCGGCTCAAAGTCCTCCCAGGAGGCCTTGGGAGATTGATTCCATCTCCTGGATTTTTTTCGGAGATTTGGGAACTTGGGTCAATCATGGTCAATCTACTTCAGAGAGGACAATGTACTATATATATATGTTGTATCATGTTGTATCTAGGAAAAAATGGGAATGGGATGGATTGATTCCATCCAAAGGTAATCTTTCAATAGTTGCGTCAAAAAGTTGACGCCCAACTTACTTTCTCCTGAGTGCCCCAGTCACTATGCTCACCAAATCAAGCCCAGCAATAATTTCAATTGCAACATTGGACTCCGGTATTAGCTCGTCCGTTCGTCGCAAATCATCACAACCAATGATGTCACTTTGGGAAAAATTGATCGGCTTGGATACCATTTACCATCATTTACCTATTGGTTGTTTACTGGAGTGACCCCTCTATCAACCAACCAACCAATGGGAAACTGGGGCTGCCAACCAACAAGCGTCGCACGCTGGGGAAGTCGAAGGTACCGTCGGCATTGACTGTGCCGGGATGCAGAATTCACACAACTAATGGATTGATTTTAAACATGAAATGCACACATTTCAATTGTCAAATCCAAATGAGCAAGGCTGCACAGCAATTGACTCCACATCAAACAAACTATATCCACTCTTTTGTGGGGCTGTCTATTGATGTTCATCTTGAGCCATCGCCAGCACCCTGCCACAACCCCACCTTCCAGGGCAGGTAGCTCGGGCTGACGACGCTTTTCTGGGCAGAACGGAGTTCGAGATCGAGGCACACCACAAAAGGCCCCTTCTGGACTGATGATGGTGGGTGGAATTGCCTTCCCTACCATGGTCAAGTAGTTTTGTCCACTCTTAGAGTACCCTAAATTGGATAATTTTGATTTTTGATTATAGTGTTCCACTAGAATTGCCATGCATTGAGGATCATTGAGAAAAAAGGCCTCCGTTTTTGGACAAATCCATATCATTGCCGATATCCCCATTATGGTTGCTATTTATGGCTGGTATCATCATGGCAGACAGTTGCCAGCTGAGGTTTACAGTTTCACCTGAGCGCCCGCACGACGCGTGGCGCGGAAACGCTTTTGCGTCTGATTCAGCGCCCTGCCAAGGGCTGCCAGGGGCACGGACCAAGGATGACATTGAGGGCCAGGGACTCATGCTCAGAAAACGAGTCCGAACCGGTGATAGCTAAAATGTTTATCCTTCAACTCTGTCAACTCTCAACCTCTTTCAACTTTGTCCAACTTTCGCACTGAGCAAAGGCCATCCATTTTGCACCACGCAGCGTCTCGGGAGTGTAGACTTATTGCATCCCCCGGATGGTGACCTGGCTGTGGCTGATCTTTGCCAATCTGCCCAAATATTTGGCGACACTGATGATATTGGATACATTTGGATACATTTGGATTTTTTTGGGTTGATAGCATAGGATCTGGGCAAACGAAAACTCACCCGAAATATGATTTGAAAAACATCATCCTGCTGTGCATCCACCTCCATTCACAGGCCCAGGCACGTGCAGGGCACCTTCATCGAAGAAGACATAGTAGCCAGGAAGTGCTTTCATCACTTCTTGTCGAAAGACCTGAGGAAATTCATGGGATGATGGACCAATCGTTGGATATGTACCTAGCCAACCTATTGGAGGTCGTTCGGGTGAGGGCACGGGATCTGCAGCAACGGTGGAGATCAAGGATGGGGTTGCAATGTCTAACAATCCTTTACAAAGTCTCAAACTCCGACTAAAACAACTCACAGCTGTCACAGCTGGCACCTGCAACTCCTTCAGCAGTTTCTGCACCGCGTCGATTTCCAACTTCCCATAGTCCCAGACCAAGGTGGTTCCGGGGTGGGGGCTCCTGAATCATGGTGGTCCGGCCATTCTGCCAGGCAGGAGGACAGCTGATGATTGATGATGGGTACGTTGATTTTTTGTTGATGGTGATGTTTACACTCCACATCCACCTGGAATCATGGGCTGTATTGGATGACCAGTGCAATAGGCATGATGTCCAATTTTTGGGCGTAGAGGTCTTCCAATCAGCAGGTGTGCCATCGCCCATGCCAAGTCTGGGCCAAGGTTGGTGAACCATCATATCCAATCCTGTGTCACCTGAGGAAACAAAATAGTTTAGTCGTTTTGAAAGTTTTGCAGAAAACCAGCATGTTCACTTCCACATTTCTTTGCAGCCCATGTTTTATCCCCTCACAAACCTTCAACAGCACTTGGCTCCTGTAGTGAGGCTCGCGATTGCCATCCTTGGAAGCCTTCTCCCAATAGCTCTCCTCTAAGGTCTCCAGCTGCGTGTCATCCGACCTTTTCAGTTGCTCCTGGTAACACACGGGGCGCAGGGGCTGCAATCGCTGCTTTGGGTCACAATCTGGGACCCTTTTTTATCCATGGGTTTCCTACATACCAAGATACGCTGAACCTTTTACTTCACCAAACAACCAGAGACATCAGAGACGATGTGCAACAAAGACCGTCCGAGAAAACATATGTGTGATGGCCCTCCAACCCTTGATATAACTGGATCCCTGTCCTCCGCTGGTGCAGACACATCACGCGCCCCCGCGCCCTGTGGCACCAAGGGTAAGGAAGTGGTCTGGAAGCGGCGCTCCAAGGCCCTGTTCTCGTAGAACACCAAACCTCAGCAGGGAACTGATGTCCAGCAAGTCCGGGGTTGGAAAAGACCCAAGACATGATATCATAGTGACACTCTTCCAAAAGATTTTTTTGGGGCCTGGGATGTTGGCTGAAGGGGAGCGCCAACATGGCCCAAAAACCTCCTGTCTGATGTGCCAAGGGACTCAGGACATCCACTGGAAGCTGTAAAGCCTCATCGATGAGGCCATGGGGATGAAATTCCATCGTCAAAAATGCTTGAGGATTATATGTTCATCCCTATTATGAAAAGTGCCTGAGGATCGAAACTGGAATCGGAAGGGTGGAATCAGCTGTTGTTTTACACCATGTTCCATTTTCCAAAGGAAGACCTCAAAGACTAACTCACACTATCTTTTAGTTGGAAGAAGAGTTGCTGGAAAGGTTTTGCAGGTTTTCTGGCAAGACACTCACATGATTTGTAGAGCCGAGCGCTCATAGACATATTCAAACGGTTTTAGACACAGTCACTATCGTCACTGGAAGTGCCCGAGTCCCTGGATTGAGATCTTTGTCATGAGGGAGTCTAGGACTGAGCAGGCTAAGGTCTTCCTAGGGGCACCTGTAGAAAACGTACAGCTGTGCGGTTGGTGTATGATGGTTTACCATGTTTACCTTGAAACCAGGTATTTGGATGCATTTGGATGTATTTGGTACTGTATATTTGGCCTCATGCAACAAAACTGAGGCATCACCATCCCTGCCAGTCATCACTCCCCGCGACGGTCGCTTTTCCATCCTATCATCAATTCGGGTCAGCAGTCTTGGAAAAATAATCTCCAAATGGTGAAAGACAAGGACGACTATCAGCGACGCACAGACCGTCGCTGGACTAGGTTTGATTCTCGGTCATCTGGGTCAAGGTCGCAAGGAATAGCCACTTGCAACTGATAAATTCCTCGAGTCTCCCGGACAAAAGGATTCTCGACTTCTGAAGCAATTCAAAGTGGATATGACATATGTAATATAAATTACAGTATACATAGAATTATATATAGATGAGTAGATGAGTAGGTGATAAGTATTGATGGTAGAGTAGATGTTGGTAATATTTGCTGATGAAAGCTTGTGAATGCCTTTGATATATCCTGTCCGATGTGTCCATTTTCCTGTTGTTCCCTATCACAGGGACAGCATGTCACCGAGGGCATGCTCCGAATTTCGCTTACGACCCAGTTGTCACAGAGAAACCCCTCTACCCGACCCATGGAGGCCAAGGATTCGGAGTCTTCCCGAAACAAAATGAGAGCGCCGAGTTTTGCCAAGGAATGGACGAAACTCGACGAAACTCGACGAATCGAGTCTCGTTGTCGTTTCATTTGAGTCATTTGAAGTTTGAGTCGACGAGAGTCGAGATGAGTTGAGAGTCGACCTCGTCTTCCTAGATGTCATCTCCAAGCTTCAAGGCGCGGTGCCCAAGCTCAAAGAACACTTCCTCCGCTGTATATCTCACCAAGCTCATGATAGCCAGCACTGTATCTGCCCCTGGATGCTGTTCCAGCAACTTCATTTTGTTCTTGTTGCATTCATCTTGATGGGCAGATCGGATCTTGATGATGTCATCAACTGTTAGCTCTCTGGTTGCTCTGATCTTTTGCACGGCAGGAAAACATGGCAAACCATCTGTGATGGACAAAACCACCATGGCGCCCAGATGTACCACGGGAGTGCCGGGCCCAATCCTCAGTCGCATCTCGTCATTGAAACGACCAGGAGGTGGTAAGACCGAGCCGAACCTCCAGGGAAGACTCGGAGACCCAGCGAGATGCTGAGGACCTCCGAACCAACAGGCGATGTGCGCAAGCCCAGAAGCGACCTCCAAAGCTATCTGCTCCAGCAATTCCATCGGTACAGTTGCGTATGTTGCGTCCACCAGGTCGCCCTGTGCGTTCTGCAACCCGACTAATTGCAACAAAGGGTTCACATTTTGCGCCACTGCTGTGAGTCGATCGTGATTTTTCAGATCAAAAAACTCAGAGATGATTTTCCCGTCAGAGGAGACCATGTGACACTTCTTCGCATTCAGCTTCTGAGCCGACGCATCTGCCAGCTCATGGATATCCTGGATCGAAGACACCGAACATGTCTCCAAAAGAGTGTCCCCTCCAAGGCTGTGGACTGTCACCGAAACCTCCAGACTCTCCAATCTCTCCATAGTTTCAGATCCTGATATCGATACCTATCGATACCGTCGAATCGATGTCGAATCGATGTCGAATCGATGTCTGATATGAGCGCGGCAAGGCAAAACAAAACAACACGGAGGAACTTTAGTCAGAAGGGCAGGCAAGTGGAGAACCACCCACTTGAGCCTATGGGCCACGTTCAAACAGAATAATGTGGAATCATGTGGAACTCTACGAAAATACAAACATGCATAAATGTGTGTGTGTGTGCGCGCGGGGGCATCTAGAGATCATATTATATGTATATGATTGTATATGATTATATACGTAATAATATGTTAGTTTCCCCCATCAATTCTGTCGTACTATTGAGTTGATTGAGCACTACCTGAAGTCACTGCTTCATCACATATTTCACCAATGTTCAACATATTTCAACTGGTTCCGTGCCTTTTTCTTGAGATTCAGCATGTTCATGTGGTCCCATGCAGGATTGAGATCTTTGTCATGAGGGAGTCTAGGACTGAGCAGACTAAGGTCTTCCTAGGGGCACCTGGAGAAAACGTACAGCTGTGCGGTTGGTGTAGGATGGTTTGCCATGTTTACCTTGAAACCAGGTATGTGGATGCATTTGGATGTATTTGGTACTGTACTGTATATTTGGCCTCATGCAAAAAAAACTGAGGCATCACCATCCCTGCCAGTCATCACTCCCCGCGACGGTCGCTTTTCCATCCTATCATCAATTCGGGTCAGCAGTCTTGGAAAAATAATCTCCAAATGGTGAAAGACAAGGACGACTATCAGCGACGCACAGACCGTCGCTGGACTAGGTTTGATTCTCCGTCTACCCCCATTGAGCGGTTGCTGTCTACCCGGAACTTACGGGATCCTTCACAGTACTGTAAAAAGGCCAGTAATCAACTATCCCCAATATTATTACCCTAAATGGGTGGTATAAGCCATCCTCAAAATGGTAGGTTTATGGCATTTGGATGTCCCCCATCAACCCAGCCCTTCGTAGATGTCATAGGCACCATCGACTTGAGCCGTTCCTCACCTTTGGCACAAAGCTCTTGTAGCACCTTCAAGGCTTCCCGATCTAAGCCTCAGATGTTGCCATGGCCCAAAAAAATAAAAGTTTTGTACCTAGTAAATAATGGTGATGTTCCAATAGCTATGTCAAGGACATCACTCTGGCCCAACTCACCAGCCGTCACCAAGGGTCGCTTACCATCGACCAGCGCTCCCAAAGTACTCTTTGGCCACAAACTGCCGGGGCCTTCCTTCACCAGGCCCTGGTAGTCCACAAGCATTCGCTCCTGGTTCAACATTGACATGCGACTAGCAGTCAGCTTGATGGTCAATGGATATTTAATATATGCAAATGGAAAAAGAGTTTCTGGAGTGACAAAATACATAAGAATAGTAGGAACTGGCTGCGTTTTGTGGCTGGTGGACTTCAAACATCCTTAATATATGGTCTGTTGACTTGCTAATGGGATCTAATGGGGGAGATTGCAATTCACCTGTCAAATGCCTGACTGGAAAGGATGAAGAAGCAAATACTTGAGTTGCGTCAACAAAAAAAACTAGGCTTGACCAGACTGAAAAAAATACACTACTTCGATGGACAATCAGTGTGGTATGGAAAATGGGAATACGAAAACTTACTCACAGCAAGTCAGAAAACCATACAAAACTAAGTGAGCAGCCATCATCATTCAGCAGTCTTGCCAAGTTCTGGTGAGTCTTCCCCCTGAAAGCTGAAGATTTCCCATTCTCCAAACCTTCAAACATGTCCCCATCATCCAGGCAGGGTCCTTCAATCCAACGAGTTGCGGTGGAAAGCCGCGAAAACGCAGCGTCAGGACCTCAGTTTCTGCGATTTTGCTTGCCAGAAAAATCACTCCCCGGGCACAGACAGATCTTTAAAGAAAGCAGCCTGTTTCACGAAGATGATAGCACTGATTAATTGACTGCGGGTTTAAGATCTGTCATGCTCCTGTTGAGTCGTCAGAAACCCGACTCACTGGGTCTGGGTCTGAGGTTCAGGCACCCGAAAAGGCGACCAAGTAGCTGCAAGGTTCAACGACCTGGGCACAGTGGGATGACATCATCATTGTTGAGCTGATCTCAAAGGCACATTTCCCAAAGTTGAGTTTTGGTTTACCTTAGATTTGTTTCCTGCAGTTTTCAGGCTGGTGCAATGGTTCCATCTATCTTCCAGCCATTGGCATTTCGTCAGTTCCACCAACTACCACCCAACTGTAGCTGTTTAGCCCAAAGACACATGGCTGGACGCCTTTGCACATCTCAGACAGCTCGACAGACATCTCAACAGATCAGCAGCACAACGCCGGCAAAAAATCCGCAGCAAAAATGGCGAGCTTGTAACTGATGATGGTGCTGAAGTATCTACAAACTCTACGCGATCATTCTGTTCATGGCATCACCCCTGCACTCCCCATGGTTTGGAATTGGTTTCAGCATGCAAGCACTTGATTGAATCGCACCAGTCGTATCAATCAGAATTTCAGCGCGATACAAGCCAATACTCACTGACTCAAGGGGTCTCTCCTCACTCTTATATATCTTATATTGAATTGACATGTCTGGGCATCTCTTCCGAGCCAAAGGGCTTGCATCAGCAACACTCACAGCACCCAGGTCACCAATCTAGACTGACAGGTTCTTCAAACTGCTCCTCAAAAACCAAGAATCTCAGGCTCGAAATGAGCAATATTGATAAAACATGAAAAAAGAAACTGTTCAAACACAAAATGAGGTGCTAAACTGCTAAACCCAATGCCATAAACCTACCACAAAAGGATGGTTTTTGTTGCACCCAATTCATGGTTTTTCAAAACGTGATGGCCTTGGAGGTCTGATGGCCACCTGAACTGCATCCATCGGCTCCACCTTGGGATTCGGGGCTGTCGAAGCTGTCGAAGCTGATGCATTTCACCCAGTAGTTTCCACTTTCCATAGCCATCCCCAGATCCAGTGAGAGAAAAAGTGCCACCAGAAATCCAGTGAAGTTCCGCATTGGGTGACCCCGACTTTCACATGCCGCGGCACAGAGACCCGTGGCAGGGCCTGCCAGGCGGCGCAGCTTGGCTGTGTGTCAGTGGTGCATGGTTAGCTGGGAAGGAAATGGATGGTTAAATGGTGAAACCCACTTAGGTTTGATGGTATAATGGTGGTTAATGGTAAAATGGTGGTTAATGAGAACAACCAAGCGTTGTGGTTCTCCACTTTGAAGCTATTCAGACTACCTTTATAGGTGTTCCCAGTGCAGGGACGGATCTCCGCCTCTGGCTTGTAGAAGCGCAAGGACCTCATTTGGCGGAGACTGGTCATGCCGATCCTCTAGTTGTAGGGCTCATTCCACCGGTTTCCGCAGCAAAGCAGGCATGGAATCCTTCCTTGTAGAAGATGTAGAAGCACCACATAGCCCTTTTGCACCACGGTGAAGTTCCCCACTTTTCGTGGGAGTTCATGAGTTCATCCCAAAGATTTCACAGAGTTCCCCCATCAACTCTTGAGTTTCCCAACCATCCTGGAAGGCTTGGTGGCCTGGCTTGTCGGAGAAGATGGTATCCCCACTGTCCATTGGATTCCTTGGATCAACTTCTCAAATATGATCAACTTATCCAATCGGGATTTGATTTAAATCTGTATATATTATCATATATAAATTATAAATCTATAGTCATATATTCTGAATCTGAAATCAAATTGATATCGCTGTTCCAACCACTGATCAATCAAGGCATCCCCTGCACCTGCCGGTCCGTTCGAGATATTTGGCCTGGGAACGTGTGCAGGTGCCAGTCCATCGGGGAGAGTTCCCGGCTAGTTGTGGTGTCCAATGGCAAACCCTAACAACAAAAGCGCATAAGGAATAATCTGGAAAATACCAACTCAAAAAGGAGATGGGTCCGATTCGAACCATGTCAACTGCTTGTACTGCTTGCTGCTTGCATGAATTGAATCAATGATGGAAAGAATCGAATTTGGATGATTTGGAACCTTCCAAAACATGTGCTGTCGTCATGTGCTACTATCCCTGTGATGCAGATTCGAAATGGAAAACTCAGGCATTGCTACATCATCTGCTGGGGATCCTGCTGTACCCCGCGTCAGTCATGGCAGTTGCGCTGTATTGAAACCGCTTACTCAGTTCCTTCCACTGTGATCAATCAGCCACCGACTTCAAGAACTGGTCACACTACCCAGAATTTCTGCTTCGAGGGAGCTAGGGTGCAGGTTTGGATTCTATGAAGAAGTATATATATATACTTAATACTTCAAAGCATCGTTCAAAAGCTGCGGATACGTTTCCGCAAGAACATCTTTTGCCAAACATCTGTGGTTTGGAGTTCTCATCTCCGATTTCAACATATTTCAAGAAACTTTCAACCTCCCAATGGTCTCATCCAAGTGGCAAGTGAATGACCCTTCAACCATAACAGCTGCACGCCGAGGCACTGATGTTGGCATCGCCAGCTGCGGCTCCGGCGTCGGCGACTTCGCTTGCAACGCCGAGGGTCGACGACTGCAGGCCCAGGCTGAAGGAGTTGGCTCGGCTTGACACCCCCAATTTGGGAAGGATCCTTTTTTGACCCAGACCATCCCATACCCTCTGGTAAACTAACATAGCTATGGAAAATCACCATCTTTAATGGGAAAATCAACTATAAATGGTCATTTTCAATAGCTATGTTAAATTACCAGAGGGTACCCAACACATGTCATGAATGGAACATACCCCCTCATAGCTCTCAAGAGTCTGTCACATCTTAAAATGTCTACCATCGCAAAACATGAAAGAGTCGTCTCAAGCGTCTTCTCTTCCCTACTGCCCCACTGTGTATAGACTGTATCAACTGTGGATCAACCTGTTTCAGAACCGTTCAGAATGTTTCTCTCACCTGTAGAAATCAAGTTGTTCACCTTTAATCGGGGGTTGGTAAATGTCCAACAAATACTTCTTCAAGTGATGTTCAAAATCACCAAAATGGGACATTTACCAACCAAGTTCTTCCCCAACCCCTGTTAATAACCACAGTTTTAGACAGTTTTTCGCCAAGTTCTTCCCCATCCACCTGTAGTAGCGCTCGTAGGCTTCGGTGCTGGAAGACGACCCGGACCCTGTCGAGATGACGCTCTGGATTGATGGGATCTCCCAAAAGAAAATCGCCATTTTTTGTAGGGAAAAATGATGGAAAAATGATGATGAACCAATCTTTTCCAGAAAAATGATGGGATAATGATGGAAAAATGATGGGAAAATGATGATGCAAACTTTGGGGTATCCTATTTTCAGACCACCAATCGGTTAATCCATAAGTTCTGAAGAATTGTCACTGAAAACAGGACTCAAGACGTAAGAGCTGGTTGGAAAGTGCGTGGCAAGATCCTGACTCAAAGCCAGTGTCAATTATGCTGACCAAGTTTCAGCCGTCCTGCTTGGGGGAATCTGCACCACCTAGCCTTGTTACCTTTGATTGCCTTCAAGGCATGGTCATGATCAGATTCATCACCAAAATCCACCCCCTGGATGGTCCATCACAGGAGATGTATCCCACATATTCGGATGTGCCCACCTCTTCCAAACTCTTCCCATGCCTCACCTTGCGATGGTTTGCTCTCATCCATCTCCTTGCTGTCCATGACCTGTGGCATTTCCATGAAACTGGTCTCTGCTCCCACTGGGACTGTCCAATTGCAGTGTGTCCCATCCCCACCACGCGCCGGTTTTGCGGACAAGGCTGACTCAGGATTGCCGGATCTGCTGCCCCTCGGTTTCTTCGACTTTGCGCCCCCCAAAGGCTTGAAACGACCGCTGGGGGGTGACGTACCTTTGCGCCGGAGGTGGTAATGAGCCACCATGTTTCTAATAGACTTCAGTGTCTCTGTGTCTAGCATACACTCTGGCCCCACCAGTGTTTGACCAGTTTAGGGGCAGTGATGGTGACAGGCTTACGGGACTTGAAGATTCCAAACAAAAATTGGATTTGTTGGCCCTTATTACAGCTCCTATGAACTCACCATCCAGCTGCCTGACCATCAGACCATCCATAAATCCATTCGAATTCATGCCGTCCGTCTCAGCTTTGGCAGCGTCAAGGTACTGCCTGAGACATCCGGACTGGCCATGGGTCCTTCGCGGTTGGCCCCATGGCACTAAAGACACCCAAGCCCCTTTGGCTCGGGAGGGATCCAGCCATCCCAACTCAGCCGTGCAGTCTTCAGTTCCAGTCCTGTCCGCAGGGACAATTATGCGATTTTTTGTTTTTAAACTCAGTCC